TGGGGGTCCCAAGGGTGTGGGGGCTTCTGGGGGATGTGGGGATCCAGGGGGTTCCGGGCTCTGGGGGTCCAGGGGGTCCAGGGGGTTTCGGGGGTCTCAAGTGCCCCGGGGATCTTGGGGGTCCGGGGGTTCCAGGAGTGGATTTGGGTTGTTCAGGGGCATTTTTGGGGTGGTTTGGGGTTGCTCGAGGGTTTTTTGGGGTGGTTTGGGTTGTTCAAGGACATTTTTGGGGTAGATTTGGTGTTTCTAGGTATTTTTGGGGTATTTTGGGGATTTTTGCCGTGGTTTGAGGTTCTCCCACCCCTCCCCAGCCCCAATTTTGCCACGACCTGGACGAGGTCGAGCGTCGGGAATTTAAACTTTTCGCCCAACGCCGAAAACGGGAAAATTTGGGCCAAGGGAGTGTCCGACCCCTCCCCCTCACCAGCGTGGGGGCTGTCTGCCAGCAGGTGGGGGCACCCCAAAAACGGGACCCTAAAAACGGCACCCCAAAATGGCACCCCCCAAAAAAAGTCGTGTGGGACCCAGGAATGGGGGTGGGAAGCCCCAAAATGAGGGAGGAACCCCAAAAAAGAGGGAGCGGGGATGGGAATATTTGTGGGGGTGCCCAAATCCGAGGGAGGGGAGCCCAAAAATGGGGGTGAGGGACCCCAAAACCGGGGTGGGAGCCTGTAAATGGGTGGGGGGTTGCACCTCAAATTTCCAGCCCCCGACCCCCGTGGTGAGGGTTGGGAGCTAAAACCGGGGGGATTGCACCCCAAATTCCCGGGGTGCCCTTCTGACAGCCCGGGCTGAGGGGTGGGGGGCTATAACCAGGGTTGGGGGGGGTTGCAGCCCAACTTCCCGCCCCCCCGACCCCCCAGGGCTGAGGGGGGGATGCTGTAAAGGGGGGGTTGCACCCCAAATTCCTGGTCCCCCTGGCCCGTGAGGTGGGAGGCTGTAAATGGGGGTTATACCCCAAATTCCCGTGTTCCCCCTGACCCCCGTGCTGAGGGTGGGGGGCTGTACCCGGGGGTCGCACCCCAACTTTCCACCCCCTGACCCCCGTGGTGAGGCTGGGGGCCATACCCGGGGGTCGCCCCCTGACCCCGTGGTATGAGGCTGGGGTCCATACCCGTGGGTCGCAGCCCAGCCCCCTGACCCCCTGGTATGAGGCTGGGGTCCATACCCGGGGGTCGCAGCCCAGCCCCCTGACCCCTGTGGTGAGGCTGGGGCCCATACCCGGGGGTCGCAGCCCAGCCCCCTGACCCCCTGGTATGAGGCTGGGGCCGTACCCGGGGGTCGCAGCCCAGCCCCCTGACCGCCGTTCCCGCAGTGCGGGGCCGCGGTGCGCGGCGGGGCGCTGGCGGTGTTCGCGGCGCGGGCCGGGCTCGGGCTGTGCTGGCACCCGCGCTGCTTCCGCTGCCAGCAGTGCCAGCAGCCGCTCGTGGACCTGCTCTACTTCTGCCCGGGGGGCGCCGGGGGGCGGCTGCTCTGCGGGCGGCACCACGGCGACAGCGTGCGGCACCGCTGCCCCGGCTGCGACGAGGTGCGGGCTGGGGATATGGGGTCCTGAGCTGTAGTTATGGGGTGCTCAGGGCGGTTATGGGGTGCTCAGTATGGTTATGGGGTGCTATCAGTGGTTATGGGGTGGTTTTGGGGTGCTCAGGGTGGTTATGGGGTGGCACCACAGTGACAGCGTGCGACACCGCTGCCCCGGCTGCGACGAGGTGCGGGCTGGGGGCTGCGGGGGACGGGGGGATATGGGGTGCCATGGGCGGTTATGGGGTGGTTTTGGGGTGCTCAGGGTGGGTATGGGGTGCTGGGAGCAGTGATGGGGTGGTTATTGGGTGCTCAGTATGGTTATGGGGCGCTGTCAGTGGTTATGGGGTGCTCAGGGTGGTTATGGGGTGCTCAGGGTGGTTATGGGGTGGTTATGGGGTGCTGAGGGTTGTTACGGGGTGCTGGGAGCAGTTATGGGGTAGTTTTGGGGTGCTGTCAGTGGTTATGGGGTGCTGTCAGTGGTTATGGGGTGCTCAGGGTGGTTATGGGGTGCTTATGGGGTGCTGAGGGTTGTTACGGGGTGCTGGGAGCAGTTATGGGGTAGTTTTGGGGTGCTGTCAGTGGTTATGGGGTGCTGTCAGTGGTTATGGGGTGCTCAGGGTGGTTATGGGGTGCTCAGGGTGGTTATGGGGTGGTTATGGGGTGCTGAGGGTTGTTACGGGGTGCTGGGAGCAGTTATGGGGTAGTTTTGGGGTGCTGTCAGTGGTTATGGGGTGCTCAGGGTGGTTATGGGGTGCTCATTGTGGGTATGGTGTTTGTGGGGGGTTTTGGGGTGCTCCGTGTGGTTTTGGGGTGCTGACTGTGGTTATGGGGTGGGTATGGGGGGCTCTGTGCACTGACCCCCACCCGTGACCCCCAGCTGATTTTGGGGGGGCTCTGGGGGTCTCTGTGCACTGACCCCCCCGTGCCCCCCAGCTGATTTTCGGGGGGCGCTGGGCCGAGGCCGGGGGGCGCCGCTGGCACCTGCGGCACCTGCGCTGCCTGGAGTGCGAGGGGCCCCTGGAGCCCCGGGACCTGCCCGGGGAGGGGGCGCAGCCCCTGTGCCCCCCCTGCCGCGCCCGCCGCGCCCACCTGTGCGACACCTGCGGGGACCCCATCGGTGAGGGGCGGCCTCCCGGGGGGCTTGGGGTCTCTGGGGCAATTTGGGGGTCCCCAGGGGGGTTTGGGGTCCCAGGGGGTCCTAAGAGGGTCCCTGGGGGGGCCTTGGGGGTCCCGGGGGTCTTGAGGGTCCCCAGGGTGGGGTTTGGGCGGGAGGGTTAACTGGGGTAACTGGGATAACTGGGGGGGTTAACTCAGGTAACTGGGCTCACTGGGGTAACTGGGGTGGTTAACAGGGGTAGTAACTGGGATTCACTGGGGTAACTGGGATAACTGGGGGGGTTAACTCAGGTAACTGGGCTCACTGGGGTAACTGGGGTGGTTAACAGGGGTAACCGGGAGGGTTAACTGGGGTAACTGGGATAACTGGGGTTAACTGGGATGAACTGGGGGTAACTGGGAGGGTTAACTGGGGTAACTGGGCTCACTGGGGGGATTCACTGGGTTAACGGGGGGGCTCACTGGGGGGAACTGGGGGGAACTGGGATTCACTGGGCTAATTGGGGGAGCTAACTGGGGTAACTGGGATTCACTGAGGTTAACTGGGATGAACTGGGGGTAACTGGGAGGGTTAACTGGGGTAACTGGGCTCACTGGGGGGGTTAACTGGGGTAACTGGGATTCACTGGGAGGGGTAACTGGGAGGGTTAACTGGGGTAACTGGGAGGGCTCATTGGGGGTAACTGGGAGGGTTAACTGGGGTCACTGGGGGGGTTAACTGGGCTCACTGGTACTAACTGGGGTAACTGGGGCTAACTGGGGTAACTGGGAGGGTTAACTGGGGTAACTGGGAGGGCTCACTGGGGGTACCTGGGAGGGTTAACTGGGGTCACTGGGGGGGTTAACTGGGCTCACTGGTGCTAACTGGGGTAACAGGGGGGCTCACTGGGGTAACTGGGAGGGCTGACTGGGCTGACTGGGCTCACTGGTGTAACCGGCCCGGCCCCTCCCCGCAGGCTGGCAGCCCCCGTTCCGCCGGGCGGGGCCGCACCGCCGCTCCCTGCCCGAGCTGGGCGCCGCCCCCCGCCCCCCCTC